CAGACATACCGCTGTGCCACGTGGGGGGGGGGGGTCTTTCCTTTAGGAAGGAGAGGAAGTTCTATTAAAGATGCATGATAACAAAGCAGATTAGGCAAGAACTATCAATAAAATAAACGTAATGAATTAGTTGGAACTTTAAGAAAAAATACTATATAAAAAAATAATAATTTAGGAAAGATATAATAATAATTGGGTTTTGGGGTTTCAAAAAAAAGAAGAATGTGTTGTGGATAAAATAACGTTACTGCAGATTAAAATGTTAGAATAATAAATAATAGTTATCGAGTTAATTATTATTAAAAGGTAGGGCAAACATTGACGAAACATCAAACCGATTATTATATAAATCATTAAATTAACAGCACAATGGAAAGTAAAACATCAAACTCATAATGACAAGAATCATGAGGTTCGTGATGTTAAAGCGATTCTAATCAATATTAAAAATCGAATTGGTGACGAGGAATCATTCAGTTAATGAATATAAAACAGTGGGGTTAATGTGAAGTGTTTAGTTGGTGACTGGCTGTGTTAATGCTAGGAGGAAAAGAGATAGATTAACAAAATAATCGTGTAAAATGGAAAAGAAAAGTTTGGAACATTAAATAATTGTTAACCATTTCACTAAACATTTGTTTTCGATTGTCATACTAGCCAACTGTAACAGTCTTGTTTATTACAGAGATTGGAGAAATAATTCAATAACATAATTTCTTAATGGTATTTTTACTCACTCAGTTATTCTGTATAAGATCATTGTGTGAGTAAAGAATATCTCAAAATTACCATACATGTAATATACACCTCACAACTACATAGTCTTATAATTTCGATTTGCCATTGTTCACTGTTACAGATGAGGGGGTGGAATTCACCGAAACCGGTATTACTCAGTGAAAAAAAAAATAAAGATAAATTTAGTGATAGACTGGGCTCCACATTTATATTTTAGCATTCTTAATACATTGTATTATCTGCAGTAAAATTCAGTAAACAACAAATTAAAGATATGGATGAAAGATAGGTTCATACTAATCTGTATGTATACCCACACACAGATATAGATATTTTAAGGGGAAAATAGAACAGCGTGTTGCATAGAAATAACAGTTAATTATACCATTAAAACTTTAAAAACACTAAAAACTTTAAAGAAATGAAAGTATCAAAGACCGAGATAGTAAGCATAGACATTTAGGTGAGGAACATTAGAAGTGACAGCTTTGTGTCTTATAGAGAGTATAGAAATGTGGGAAAACATTATAAACGTTTTTTTTTTTGTAAAACGCTACAACATAATTGGAATGAACTAAACACAAAAATATAAATAAATAAACAAATGTTTTCATCTGAATCTTGCCTAAAAATGGAGATTTCATATTTTTTTCCTACCTATTGAACAATAATATAATACTGCTCAATTATATTTATCCATTTATTCAAGTGTTTAAGTAGCTTATAGGTTAGTTTGGTTGTCATACAATTACCTATTGTCCAATTACTGTTTACTAACCTGTCTAATATTCGACTTGAAAATTATATTTCTTCAATAAAGTAGAAAGATGTTTTTTATTCAGGTCTTTAAGTAAAGCCACCCCCCAGTGGCACAGCGGTATGTCTACGAACTTGCAACTCTAAAAATCAGCTTTCGCTACCCTTGGTGGGCAGAGCACAGATAATTCTTTGTGCTTAACTATAAACTTTAAGTACATTAATTTTATTTTCATAACATTACCTATTGTCCATTTATTGTTTATAGTCCGGCTGACCTTTGACTTCAAAGAGTACGAAGAATATGCCTATTCTGGTAACAGTAATTATTTAATAGCTATTCATTTATAATTGTGTAAGAAACAAATTAAAAGACAAAACAACCTAAACCTTTTTACCTACACAATAAAAAAGTTATTAAACTTCATTACAAAACGGTTCTACTCTTCCATCCCAACAGTTTCTAATTTTGATTAAATTACAAAGCTTCACATGAAGTGAAAACTTCAAAGTCGTGTGATATAGGTTTAGACAAACGTTTTTGAATACATCACCTTCTAGATTCAAATCTTTCTATCAACTGTAACAGCTGTTTCAAACAAGTACACTAAAAAAGCACTGACATCGTTTTCTATTTCAGTTGCAAGTTTGGAGATTACGTCAAACTCTACCTACATTTGAAGGAACCCTTCGTGAACCAGAACACCAGCCACAATATTTTTCTGTGCGGTAAGCTATCTGATATTCAACAGACTCACTATTCTTCTGGGGCATCTCTCATCTTCGAGTTTCATTCGGACTGGCGACAAGAAAATAACACAGGCTTTCGAGGAACCTTTCGTTTTTTTAATAAAAGTAAGTAGCTTACGTTTTTGAAAACAAAAGGTTTAATTAAGAATATAATGCGATTTTCCAACCTTTTTGATTGGACACTTATTTTACTATCATGCATATATATGACGTTTCTACAATGTTGCTCAGTAGTTGTGCAATAGTAAAATTCATTAATTAATGTATATATATATATATTCACCATTAACGTCTAACAATGCCATAACGTATCACAACATATAATGCATGCATGGCATTGTCAATTTTACCAACGCACAACTATTCAGCAACTTTGTAGAAACTGTTAGCTGTTGTGTTAGCTGGGGCATTACAATAAACACATTTATCACTTTCAAGACAAAACCTTCCCTGCTAAAGTTCTATAAAGGGTCTTGCGTGGCCCAGTGGTTTACGTGGCGAACTGTAGAGCTGAGGTTTCGTGGGTCCCGTCCCGTTGTCGTGGACAACTGCAAATGGTTTTACCTTATCTTCCTTTAAAACCGTTTGCACTCATTTTTGCCAGCAACAGGGTTTACACCCCGATTCTGAGCTCCGTGTCGGGGATGTTGTTCTTCCTATGGTTCCTGAGATGAAGTTTTGTGACTTATCTTTGACCATAAGCTTACTTTAGTTTTTCCCATTAAGCAGTTTCTTGTCAAGTTTACATGGGCACTGAGCATCCTCCGTGTCCTCTCTTCCACCTCTTGTGGAATGGATCGATTTTCTATGTTGAGGATCTATCATGCCTTCATACATTCCAAGCTGGACCATGGACCCTGTACATCATCTTGAGCTTTGATTCTGCACAGGGACTTTCCACACTTTGCCACTCCATAGTCTATACAATGAGTTCCACGAACCTCTTCTTCACCTCTGCCGTTTGCAGCTTTTTTACAATATACTACCAAGCATCGACCATTACCACAGCATCCCACCTGGGGTTGAATTTTCCTTCCTCTGTGGGCTGTGCTGCTTTTGTTCTTCGTATCCAGGCACAGCTGACTGAATTGGGTCTGTCATTAGATGACGTTTCTGAGTCTGATGATCAACCCATCCCGCCATGGTTCCTTACCACCCCCACCTGTGACCTTTCTTTGAGTAATTTGAGGAAGGTGGATACTCCCGATTGGAAGTACTGTCTTCTCTTTGCCGAACATTTTTCGAACCATTCTTCTGTTCCCGTTTTTACAGATAGTTCGAAATCAGGTGACTCTGTGAGCTTTTCCGTGGTTTAGTTGTTTTTTGTTTTTTTTGTGGCTCAGTGGTTGCTCAAAGGATCCCCTCTTACCCTGGAGCACGTAGAAGCTATGCAGTACATAATACTCTCTTAGCTCTCTACTGGCCCTAGAATCGCTTAATGTGAGTTCTCACCCTGTTTTCGTCGCTATTCAAAAACGGCTGGGCCACTTTTCGCTGTCTTCCATCTCTATCCAGTTTTCTGAATTCCTGAACATGCTGGTATTCGCGGGAATGATCTTGCTGACACCACAGCTAAGTCTGTCTGCTCTGGTGCTGTCACAGTCGTGCCTATCCTGTATATGGACTATGGTCTTGTGATCAAGGCCCAGCTTTGCACCAGTTGGCAGTCCACTTGAGGTGAGCAGCTTCATAACAAGCTTTTCCAGATCAAACCTACTGTTGTTGTTTCTGTTGTACTAGTTTCTGTAAGAATCGACGAGAGGAAGTTGTCTTCTGTAGGCTGTGCATTGCTTACGGTTTTTGTTTTTACTTATCGTTTTCTTTTATATGGGTCTGAACCCCCAATGTATGGCCTTTGTGACACTCAGATCGCTATTGCCCTCAAAATACTTTTGCTATTACGAACATCAGCGGTGGCACCATTTTCGGCATGTATTTTCTAATTGTTTACTCCTGACGTTGTACGGTGTCATTGGCGATGGTGACACTGTCCAGCTTGATTGTGTTTTTAGTTTTTTACGGGCCATTGGCCTTTTCACTTCTGTTTAGATTTTTATCAAATTTTTGAGCTTTGTTTCATTTTTAACTTATTTTCTTTTTACATTTTATTGTATTTTGCTTGCAGCTTTTTAACGGTTGTTTGGCGCCAATAAACCAACCAACCATCAACAACATCAGTGTTCTTCTCATTGAAGAAGTTTGTTTGTTTTTCCAAAATTCTAAATTCGTAATACATAGCTTTATACTGATCAAGATTGAAATTAATTTTTTGCGTTTAGATTTTTCAGATTAAGTGCAACATTCTCAGTTCTTAGCACATCTTGATATAAGCAGTGAATTTATAAATTCTGCAAACCAAAAAACTAAAAAATATATTTATAAATTAAAAAGCAAATATATTAAAACGTACCCTTGAGGGACCATTGATATTATATCTTTTTAATCGGAAAATTTTAATTATTCGCCAACTTTTGTTTTCTGCTATCAGCCAATTTTATGCCATCGTTTGTATTCAATTCGTTAACAAATTAAATGGTTAATTAAATGTTTATGGGAGCCCTATCAGACACTTTTTAAAGATCAAAACACACATTTTTAAAAGGATTGTCTTCATCCACAAACTCAGACACTATTACTAATTTCAAAATAAATCGATTGAGACGGAAACCCCTTTTTTAAAACCGAGACGAGTATCGTTGATTAAATGCCAACTTTTTCATATACCTTTAAAACTCCCTTATGGTTCAATGGTACGTATAAGGGCATATAATGCTAAAATTCAGTGTTTGATTCCTACTGTGGGCACGGCACAGATGCCCCATTGTACAGCTTTTGCTTCACAGCAATAAACACAAAAACAAATACATGTATAAATCACCTCCGGGAATAGATTTCAAAGTAATATACGTATAATTTCTCCCTCTTTTTTTTAAATAAGAATCACATAGACAACCTTCCATTCATTAGGAAATTTCTTTGTGTAACTAGCGACTTTTGGAAAGTTTTTAGTTTGAATCTCCTCAAGTCCGGAAGCTTCTCACTCAAACTCCATTCCAAAGTTTTCTAAAGCAGTTTTTGCTTCACAAATTTAAATCTTAAGAAAAGTTCCTTTAAAAACATTGATCAAACTTGATGTGTTGTTTCTCTCTTTTATCACTAAAATCTTGGTAAAAGAGCTGTTTAGCAACTCATTCACGTTTTTTTTCGTCCTTATCTAATTTTCATTCGAATATGTTAAAGAATAGATTATATCCTTAATTCTTTATCTAATTTTACGTAGGTATAAAAATCCTTCAAGTCAAATTTAACGTTTTTTGCTAAAGGAACTTCCATAGTCCGTCTTAGAAAACCTTTCTTGACTACTTTATAGTAATTCTATACATTTATTGTTTTTGTTTATAAATAATTTCATTCCCTCAATCGTCCTTTTAGAAAGGGCTATTCACTGGAAGAAATACACTCAATTTAAACATAGTTTAAATTAAATAATAAAAATTTCTGAAGCTTTATTAACAGTCCTCCATTTAGAAGAGCCGCCCAATCTTTCTCTATCTCATAATTATTTGCTCGGCATGGCCAGGTGGATAAGGCGCTCGACTCACAATCTGAGGGTCGCGGGTTCGAATCCGCATACCA